TTTTTGGTGGCTGGCCAGTATGGGAATCCGAACCCTTGACCTTGGTGTTACAAGGCCATGCTCTAACCAACTGAGATAACTGGCCTCCCTAGGAATTTTTTCTATGTCCCTTCTCTTGGCCATGGTCTGCTTTCTTCTCTTCTGTTGTTGGGATCATCTTCCCCCACTTCTGAGTCCACATGCCTAAATGTGGCGGAGACCATAATAATCCTAGAGTATTATAGGCTATAGTCCAGGCACTGAGAGAGAGAGAAAGAGCAACCCAGCCCTCTTAGACTCAGGTACAAATTCTCAGGAAAGAAAACTAGAATTAACAGGAAAATCAGATACTTGTGTTTCCTGATCAGTGCTTTATTCTGTGGAAGAAAAACCTACTAAGACAAATTACAACTGGAAGATTGTGCAGTAAGCATGGAATCACATATGTAACCCATCAGCAAATCTGTTCTACCATTAAAAAGGATCCCAAATCAGTCCTCTTCTTTCTAGCTTCACTCTTCCTACTCTAGTCCAAAGCCACCATCCAAACTTGTCAAAACTTCTGCAGTAGTTTCTTTGTCTCTTAACAATCATTTTTATCCGCTTAGAATTGATTTTGCACTCAGTATCCAGAATTATCCTGTTGAAATGTAACTCAAATCATATCCCTACCTAAAACACCCCAATAGCTTTTGATCTCTTAGAATAAAATCCGAACTCCTCAACATGGCCTTCCAGGGCCCACGGGACCTGGCCTCTGCCTATCTCCCTACCTCATGTCCCACCACTCCTCTTCTTGTCCAATCCACTCTAGCTAAAATCCGAACTCCTCAACATGGCCTTCCAGGGCCCACGGGACCTGGCCTCTGCCTATCTCTCTACCTCATGTCCCACCACTCCTCCTCTTGTCCAATCCACTCTAGACACCTGACCTCCTGCTGTACCTTAGACATGCTAAGCGCATGCCTAGTGTGGATTTATTTTCCTAGTGGGAGAAAATGCATTGATCAGTGAACACAAGTATCTGGCTTATCTGTTATAGTTCTCATTGTACATCAGCACATTGGCATTCTGATATGTATGTCCATCTCTTATGTGTCTGGTTAGTGTGAATCTACTTCCTCTGGTTGTATTGACAAGAACGTATTTCTCAGTCCACAGAGCTAAGAGATAGATGCGTGAGACCCAGTCCCTGCCTATTCTTCTAAAGAACTGCTAAAGTACTACTGCCCCTAAATGGTCTTACCTAAGCAGCCAGCTGGACTTCCTCAGCAGACACACTGCCTTTTTACCATACAACTCTTCAAACTTACTATCATGTTTTCCCTTGAAGTGTTTTTTGAAAATAGTAAATGCTAAAATTAATTACGACAGTAGTATTCAAAATGGATAAGCAAGCTGATCTGCTGAGGAGTGAAAACAAACTCCTATTTTTATTTATTTGTAATCTAAAATACGAGGAAGAATTTTGTTTTCCTATACTTTACCTTTACCATTTTTAGTAAATATACCTATATGCTATATAAGAATTCTGCTGTACTATAACAGTAGGACCTCAGTCACCAGCTGTCACACAAGGTGTCATGGGTGGTGGGGGATGGGAGTGCCTCCCCCAGGGGAGGGTGGATGGTGGCGCTGGCCCTCATTCATTCACTTTCCATGTCTTGGGGATTTACTGTTGTTTACCTGTGCTTGATTAAATGGATTTACAGAGAATTAACTAATTCTCATAAAAAAGAAACATGATTAAAAAGATTTCTGCAAAGAACTTGACTGGAACTCAAACTAAAATTGGAAGTACAAGAAAAAAAAGGGACAGAGATGACATTTCTGATTGCTGGTACAAGCTCCTCGTCACATAAATTATGGTATAAAAATAATGATGATCTAGTAAGATCTGACAAGGTCAGCCAAAAAGTGGAAATTTGCAGGACTATTTGCAGTAGGTATTTCCATCCACTATTATTTATAATTAACTTTGACCTACATGTATATTTGCCTTGAGATTGGCCAATGATTGAATGAAACTATCACAATTAACATCATAGTTAAAATAGTTTACTTTTTTATTTTTAAATTTCTATTTTGTGGATATTATGTAATGTATTTTATGTATCAATATACTAATATATATTAAAATTAATTTGTCTTATAATACACTATTATATTTATATATTAATGCTAATATATCATGTTAATATACATATATAATTGTGTGTATGCTCAAAAATTCTTAATGACACAATCAAAAATCTTTAAAGACCACTTGATTAAAAGATGACATTTGGAAGAAATCTGACCTCATTATTATAAGTGATTGAAAGCTAGAATCATTATTTTATAATATCCTTATAGATACGATAACCATTGTACTTCAAGTGAGTTATTAATAACTACCTATATCTACAGCACCAGGGCTTCATAACTGTGAGAAATTTGGGAAGCAGCACCCAGTAATGACTCTAGAGTCAGATTGCATGGCTGACTCTCTGCTTCAGTCATTGCTAACTACATCCTGGGGCAAGTTAAATAACCTACTGAGCCTGAGTTTCCTTAACTGTAAAATGAGGATAATATTAATACTTTCTGCACAGGCTATTTTCAGGACTAAATGAGCTGATACATATAAGCATTTAGACCAGTGCCTGGCATTACTAAGTGCTCAGTAATTGTTAACTAACATTAACCTGACTTTGGTTAAATTTAAAAAATCAGGGACTGGCTGGTTAGCTCAGTTGGTTAGAGCGTGGTGTTATAACACTACGGTCAACGGTTCAGATCCCCTTTCTGGCCAGACGCCAAAAAAAATAAAAAAACAAACAAAACAAAACTAACCTTGCTACCTACTGCCACTTGCTGGCCAACATGGGTCAGTACACTGCAATCTACTTAAAGCTAAAAAAATGCTTGGCGTCAGGAAAGATTTTCAGTGTTTAAGGAAACATCAATGCTTAACTTCAGAAAATTTTTGCAAAATAGTGTTGTGAAAAATCAATTGCCATAAAATTAGGCAATTACCAAGAAGTAGAGGAATAGAAGAGAAATTAAATACCTTTTAAAATTAATTAAATAATGATACATTTTAGATGTTTAAAAGCAATTTTAAAAGCAGGACATTTTAAGTGGTAGTGTTCTGAAGCACAGATCTTGAGAATGATGATGCAATAGAGCATAATTTGCCAGGAAAAGCAGTTTGCTTTCTGAAATGACCAAGTGTGTATTTCAAGTTCTGCCTTGATGTTGGGGCATGGGAGGAGGTATGAATCTTCCTATTATATAATACTTATGCTATTGCTTATTGAGTGCTCACTATGTCAAGTGCTTTCTGTATATCACCTTTTTTCTTTTTTTAGTATTTAATATGAAGATGTTCAAACATATAGGACAGAATAATATAATGAACATCCATATACACACTACTCTGTTCAACAATGAACACTTTCTGTATTTTTGTTTTTCTGAGTTATTTTAATATATAGATAGCAAACATTTCACCCTTAAATATGCTAGATGAATGTCTAAAAATACATTTTTTACATAAGCACAATACCATTTTCTTTCTTTTTGTTTTTTGAATTTATTTTTTAATTGAAACATACTGATTATACATATTGATGCGGTACAGTTATATTTTAATACATCTATACAATGTGTAATGATCAAATCATGGTACTTAGCAAATTCATCATCGTAAAAATCTATCATTTGTGATGAGAATATTTGAGCTCCTCTCTGATAGCCATCTGAGAACATATAATAAATCATTGTTAGTTATAGATGCCTAGCACTACTGTACACCAGGAGAACTTATTTTTCTATCTAGCTGTAATTTTGTATCCGTTAACCAACCTCTCCCTATCCTCCCCACTCTCTCTCGCTCCCTGTCTCTAGTACCCCAAATTCTACTTTCTACTTCTAAAAGTTCACCTTAATTTTTTCTAGTCCCCACATATGAGAACATGCAATATAATCTTTCTGACTTATTTCACTTAACACGTTTTCCAGGCTCAAAATGACAGAATTTCATTCTTTTTTATGGCTAAGTAGTATTTCATTGTGTTTATATACAGCACATTTTTTTTATCCATTCATCTGTTGATGGACACCTAGGTTGATTCCATACCTTGGCTACTGTGAATAGTGCTACAATAGTAATGGGTTGCAGATATCTCTTCAGTGTGCTAATTTACTTTCCTTTGGATAAATACCCAGCAGTGGGATGGCTGGACCATACGGTAGTTCAATTTTTAGTTTTTTGAGGAGCCTCCATACAGATGAGGATAGTCGTTGCTTCTAGGCCCAGAGTTCATATTCATATTTTCATTTCAAAACTAGCAATATAGGGGTTTTTTTCAACTTGTGATCTCAACGTATATTATAATCTCTATTTTAAAAGGAAGAAACACGTAACTAGAGGTATCCAAGGTTACGTGGCTGGTAAAAGTTAGCGTTGGGATTCGAACCCGGAAACGTTATCTTCCTCAGGGAAGGCGCCCCGGGCACTCCGAGGGGCTTCTCCAGGAGGGAAGGGTCCTTAGATAAAGAGTTAGGTTGATGATCGGGGCTAGGGACGCCGGAACCAGCGGGCGAGGGAACCATCCGAAGCGTGGCCGTGGCCGCTGTGTCGCCTCAGATGTGACCAGAGCTCCCTAAAGCACAGAAACTGCCAAAAAAAAAAAAGCACATGCCCGGAGCCCAAAGGTGGGATATCTTTCGCGTACTGCGAACCTCAGCGCGAGCCCACTGGACCTAATCCGCCCCCTAGTAGCACCCGCCCACAGCCAATCAGAGGGAGCCTTGAGCAAGGGGGGCGGGACATCAGAGGAGTGTGTCCAATCAGGAATCAGTCCCTGGGTTGCTTCAGGACAGAGCATTTCAGAGCCCTCCTCCAGAGAAGGACAGAGAGGAGGAGGTGGAGGATGGCCAATCAAAGGGGGCGAGTCACGTGGGTGGGGGCCGATAGCCAATCAGAAGAGCGCTCGCTCCGGACTCGCCCGGCCCACCAGTCCTGCGGGCCTCCTAGGTGGGAGGATGCAGCGCTGCGGTCACTGGGCCGGGGTCGTTAGCTGCCGCGCTGCGCTCGCCGTGAGCCCCTCACACCCCTGCCCCGCACATGGCAAACTCGGGCTGCGAGGACGGCCCTGGCCAGGAGGAGGAGAGTTTTCTGTACTTCGCTTACGGTAGCAACCTGCTGACGGAGAGGATCCGCCTCCGGAACCCCTCGGCCGCGTTCTGCTGCGTGGCCCGCCTGCGGGTGAGTGTCCCGCCCTGCGCACACCAGCCGCCGGGACCCCGGGAGCCGCCTCGGCGCGGTTCTCCCTGGGTAGGGGACGCTGGGCTTCTCCGGGGGCCTGGCTTCTGCCTCCTGGGAAGCCCACCTCCCCCGCTCTCCGGCCCTGGGCTTGCCCCTGCTCGACTGCGCTCCCGGGCCGCCCCTCCGGACGCCCCCGTCCTCAGCCGGGCGTCCGCACGGGAGGCATTCGGTTGGTTCTTCTGAGAAGCCTTCTCCGACCCGAGTGGGGGGACCGTTGTTACAGGACTTGTCCCCTGGTATTGTAAAAAACCTGTTTACGTGTCTTTCGTTCCCGATCAAGAGGTCCCCAAACTGGAATCCATGTCTTATTCACAGTGACACTGCTGTGCTCGGTTAGGTAAAGTGGCTGTTGAACCATAACCAGCCTTGGTAAATCATTGCTGTTCAGTCCAGTACATTCATTCATTTAGCTCATATTCTTCCAGCATTTAACTCTGGGGACACAAAGGTGATTGAGGAAAGCTGCTGTTTTGAGGACCTCCCAGTCTATAGGAGAGAAATGCAAACAGATTGTGGACAAAGCCTTTTGACAGCGTTGAACTAGACAAACGTGATCTCTGCTAACCTCGTCAGAGTTCTTGGTTGCAAGCAACAGAAACTGGCTGATTTAAGCGAAAAAAAAGAATGTGTTGAAAGGCTATTGGAGAGCTCACAGAATGACCAGGAAGGCAGGAGTACAAAGATGACAAAAGAGATGAGCATAAAAGGAGGTGCAGCAACTGTAATACAGCCAGCATCGCAGGAGAGAACCAGCCCACCAAGCTACTGCTGCCCCACTGCTGAACTCGGTAAACATGGATACTGTGTTGTGCCCCACCAGCACCACCTGCACTGGACCCTGCCAGCCACTGTCCTACATCCCTGCAGTTCCCGAAACCCAGATGTTTTAGCCACCACCAGGGTGGAATACTTGCTGTCTTGGGGCACTAGCTTCAAATCCAAAGCCCCGAGTGGGTGTCCTGACTGCAAGCAAAACTCTGGCATTTGAAGTTGCAAAACTGGGAGTTGGGCTCTAGTACTCCCTATTCCCAAACTCATAAGATAGGGAATTACCTAGGAAGGGAGTTCAAATATTGATAGTTGGAGAAAGGGGGAAAGATATCAAACAAATGATTATTCTGTTACAGGTACGGTCAGTCTTAGAAAGGAGATGTTAAGGTGCAATGGTGTCTGCGACTGGGGGACCTGACCTAACGAGTATGCTCAGGAAAGCACTTCCTGAAAAATGTGACTTTTAAGCCAAGCCCTAAATGACTGGGGAGGTGGGGAGAAAACAAAACAGAGGGAACATCATGCGCAAAGGACCTGAGGAAAGAGGAAGCTTGGTCTTCCGCTGACTTTTAAGCTGAGACATGAAGACTCGCGAGATAGGGAAGGGCCACATCTGACAGGACCATGTAGGCCAAATAAGACTGAACTTTATCTCAAGAGCAATGAGAAGACCCAGTGCAGAATTAAAGCAAATGAAAGACCAGATTTACATCTTTGAAAGCTTTTGTTGGCTGCAATGGAGAATGTATTTGAAGGGAAGCAAGAGTGGATGTGGGGAGTCCAGTTAGGAAGTTTTTGCAGCAGTTCATGCCAAAGATAATGAAGGGCTCCTTGAAGTAGGATGGTGGCAGTGGAGGTAGATAGATTTGAGAGATATTTAGGAGATATTGTTAAAGCTTGGTGATTGAGGGTGAAGGAAGGAGATATCAAGGATAACTCAAGTTTTTTGCACAAGGTAGATGGTGGTGACATTTACAGAGAGAAGAGGAGAATCCAGTTTGGGAGGGAAAATCATAAGTTCAATGTGAACGTACTGAGTGTGAAATGATTGCAAGACAGCCAAGAGGACAGAACAATATTAGTGAACATTTATTAAGTACTTACTGTGTGCTAGGACTTGTTCTAAGCACTTTTGAAGCTCAGAAGAGAGGTCTGGGCTGGGTTTAAAGATAATTGGGTATTAGATGGTTTTTGAAGGCTTCGGAGCAGATGAGATTGTCTTGGGCAAAGTGATGAATGAATAGAGAAAAGGGCCTAGACTGAGTGAGCCCTGAGAAACTCGAACATTTAAAGACCAAGTAGTGGAGGAGGAGTTGGCAAAGGGAATTGAGGATATCAAGGAATAGCCTGAAAGTCAGAAAAGAGGCATATCAGGAGAGGGTGGTTACCTGTGTCACAAGCAGCTGAGAAGTAGAGCAAGATGAGGAATGAAAATTATCTATTGGATTTAGCAACAGACAACCAGTCCCTAGTGGAGGTTGTAACTTCTATCATATCTACTGCTGTCCTGCCAAGGATTGGTCCTAGAAGAACATTCAGTGTGCTGATTGAAGGTACTGATCACTCAAACCAACCTTTTTCCTGAAGTCTCTGACAAGGTTTTTGAAAAAATACAGGCGACTGGGATAAAATATCAACCTGAAAAGAACCCTAAAGTTATCATCTAGTCCAGCCTTTTAAATTTTACTATTAAGGAAACTAAGCTCCAGAAAGATGGAAAGAAATCTTCCTAGGCCAAACAAGCCAAGTCAGAATTTTAAATCTTTCCCAGGACTCTATCCCCCGATTGCCCACCTTTGTGAGGAAAGAAGCTGAACTAGAAACCTGGCTCCATTACTTATTAGATTAGGCAAGTTGCTTAATCTTTCTAAACCACAGTTTTTCTTGATGTAAAATACGTATAATAAGTTGTTGGAATGATAAAAGGAGATATTTCATATAAAGCTAATAGCACAATGCATACATAGCACCCAGTCATTTTTCAGTGTTAGTTGCTCTTATCATTATTGTAGATAAATTAGTACAATTCTTGAGTATTAGATTAATGTGTATAAGTATACAAATCACTCTCAAATGCCAGTGCCCTTAGGGCAAATATGGTGTAGTATGCTGGTAGGATACTCTACAGACATAAAAGTAGAGAGAGTATTATAACTCCCATGTAGCCACCACCCAGCTTGTCTTTAAGTAAAAATGTATGTGTATGTAAGTAGACTGGGAAGTAATTTGCAAAAATGAAGCAATTGTGTTAAGGCAGTGAAGTTATGGGATTTTTTTTCCCTTCAACCTTTTATGTTAACATGCCTGTACATATTCAGTATATGTTTCATTTTTATGAAAATATGGAAAAACATATACTCCTTGAGATCTGGGTCCTTGTCTGTTTATCTTTGTATTTTCCACAGCTTCTTACACATAGAAGGAACTCAAAGTTTATTGAATGTTTTAATTGCATGGAGTTCAAGGTAAATCCTTTTTATTTTGGGGAGGGAAATTTGGGTTCAAGTGGATATATTCAGTATATGTTTCATTTTTATGAAAATATGGAAAAACATATACTCCTTGAGATCTGGATCCTTGTCTGTTTATCTTTGTATTTTCCACAGCTTCTTACACATAGAAGGAACTCAAAGTTTATTGAATGTTTTAATTGCATGGAGTTCAAAGTAAATCCTTTTTATTTTGGGGAGGGAAATTTGGGTTCAAGTGGATATTGATCATATCATTTTGGTTTCCTTCGTAGGATTTTAAGCTTGACTTTGGCAACTCCCAAGGCAAAACAAGTCAAACTTGGCATGGAGGTATAGCCACCATTTTTCAAAGTCCTGGCGATGAAGTGTGGGGAGTAGTATGGAAAATGAACAAAAGCAATTTAAATTCTCTGGATGAGTAGGTGGCTTCTAATTAAGTTAAATAAGTTAAAAAATAGCTAATTCAGAAAATGGATTATATGCAAGGATGTGTATATGTGTGTTTTTCAAAACCATATACTACAGAAATATTCTTTACTCTTTAGAGTCATATAATAATATATATATATATAATATTGTATACTATATATTATATATATAGTATAATGTGAGTTTGCTAAAATCACACTTTCTGATAGAGATTTGGAGGGATGTTTGTAATCTCTTATGTAAAAGATAGAAGCCCTTATTTTTTGTTCTATTTTTCTTTTATTAAAATTTCTCTTTGTAGTGTCATACTGTGAAAAGGCATAAAGATTTTTGTAATTATTTCATATTTTCGTTGATTTCAAAAGCAATTTGTTTCTGTTTTCAAAAAATTCTTTAAGAGGCAATTGAATCAGCAAATAAGTAACAATAATTTGTAAAAGAATTTAAGAACATATTAGAAATGCTTTTTTTTTTTAACTAGAACTCTCTGTATTGTATGGCAGAGCATTTAAAAGAAAGAAAATTGGCAGAAAAGAATAGGCCTTGAGAAGAAAACTATCTGACATTCTTGATACTTTACCTCACTTATGAATGAGAATAAGCCATCCTTTCTACTTTTCCCTGGGTGGATATTCTCTTGCTGTCAGAACACATAATCCATTTTTTGTAACCTAGAGAACAATGTTTCAGGGATATAAAGATGGAAATAACTACATTGAGGCATGTTTTTAGATAGGATAAATATAGAGAGTTCTGTTAGAGGTATACCAAGTAATATTAAGTCTCAGCCTTTCTAATTGAAATGCTAAGCTTACTTTTGATGTGGTATTTATATGTTCTGTATGGTATCTATATAGTCTATATCCCAAAATACGTAGGGAACAAGTATGTCCATATATGAATATAGTTAAATTTTTAATCCTATATCCCAACTTGATTAAAAGACCTTACCATACCTAAAGCTGAATTGGTTAAGTATGGCTAAAATTTGGATGTTCTGGTTTTAGGCAAGAAGGGGTTAAAAGTGGAACTTATGTCATAATAGAAGTTAAAGTTTCAACTCAGGAAGGAAGAGAAATAACATGTCGAAGTTATCTAATGACAAATTATGAGAGTGCTCCTCCTTCACCACAGTATAAAAAGGTAAGCTCCTTACACAGACATTTGGTGATTCCTTTCTAATTTTCACTGAGATCAACTAAAGAATATCTTGTCTTCGAAGGGCTTTGTGTGTTTTAAATTCTACATGAACAATTCATTTTAATCAAAATGTTTTTAAATACAAAAAGTTAGTTATTTACCTAAAGTATAAATTCAAAAACATTGCTCAGACTTATGTGTGATGATAGAACTGTTTCTAAAATTTTATTAGGAAAAAAAATCCACAAAGCAATATTTCATGAACACCAAGATTCATTTCTATAGAGAAAATAATATTTTCTGTTGCTGAAATGTTTTCCATTCCTAGATAAAAAAAAAAAAAAAAAAGCCACACTGCCTCTCAGAATCAGGGAAACCACCTCTATCTACAAGCACAAGACAAAAATGTGGGATAGAGACCCCAACATCCCTTTTCAGAAACCCAAACTTAGATTCCTGTTGACAGGCCCAAAGAGGGCATGGCACTTGTAGTGGGTAACCCAGTTCCTGGGCCTAAATCTGTAGTGTTTTGGTATGGAGCCTAGAGGAATTAGCCTGGTATGTGAAAGTGCCTTGAAAGTGCCACTGAAAACAGTGCCATTTATTTTTCCGTGTCTAATTCAGAGGAAGAGCAAGCTCTGGGATTAAAACCAAAACTACTCCCCATAAGTTTTAAATTATTTTTGAAGAATAGCATTTTTTTCTTAAAAGGTCCTACAAATTCTATACAATAAGATATATTTTTCTCTTAATATAAAAGTATTTTAAATCATTGAGTAAAATTGATATTCCATGATAGTGCTTTATGTGGCTTTGAAAACTCCCTGCACATTAGTGCTCAGTGCGAGAGGAATGACCGTATCTCTATTTTGCCATAATTGTTTATTCTAGAGTTACCTGAAAGCTAATATTCTATACTTTGCTAATGCAAGTAAAGCTATGGTATACTAAATTATTATATTCTTAACTAAATTGTTTGCTTTAACCTTTTCTAGATTATTTGCATGGGTGCAGAAGAAAATGGTTTGCCACTGGAGTATCAAAAGAAGTTAAGAGCAATAGAACCAAATGACTACAGAGGAAAGGTCTCAGAGGAGATTGAAGACATTATCAAAAAGGGGGAGACAAAAACTCTTTAGAACATAGCAGAATATATCTAAGGATATTCTTTTTATGTGCTAATATAAAATATTTTTAACATTTGGGAACAGGGATCTGACATATATACATTTTAAATCTATTTTCAACAGTGCTCTGAAGGTATATCTCACTTGAGTGATTCCTTATTTTCAGACTATAAATAGAAGCTGGGGTAGGAGTTAAGACATTATAAAAAGGGCTATGAGGCCCTGGAATGCACGACAAATGGATGTGGGTGCTCCTGTGAACACTTAAAGCTATTTTCTTGAGTTGATCTTAAGTGTCTTCTTGCTCTGTAGCTAAGGACAGATTTGTAGCCCACTTGATGATGGTGCTGGTGAATTGCTTTGCTCTGTCTGGGGGTTTTTTAAATCAGCTTAATAAGAATAATCAAACTGCAAAGACAGTTAATAATAAAATTTTGAAAACTGGAAAGATGGTATACTGTTGTTAGAGGAATAAATGTATTTGTGGTTTAGCTTGTTTTCCCTACTAAAGTACTCCATTTCATTATGTTGTTAGACTCAAATCATCACACATACTGTATACTGAAAGTATTGCACAGACTGGAGCCAAACAGCCTGGGACCAATTGTCATGTCCATCACTTTCTAACTCTGACACTTTAGGTTATTTGATTCTTTGTGCCTCAGTTTCCTCACCGGTAGAGTGAGGATAATCAAAACACCTATATCTTAGGATTGTTTTGAGGAGGAAATGAATAAATAAATGTAATGAGCTTAGGACAGAACCTGGAACATAGTAAGTATTAGCAACCATTATTGTTTTTATTGAAGAATTAAGTTTGTACAGGGCCATCCTTGGAACCGGATTTTAAAGTAGAAAAGTCAAAATTATGAAGGGAAAAATTGGGGGGGGGAGGTGGAGAGCTAGTTTGATTCTTGGCTTATCAATAAATGGTGACCTAAAATTTATTTACTGAATAAATGGAGGAAAGGAGTCATGAATAAAGCAATACTTACTGGTTATCAAAAATCTCTATGTCTCCATGGAATGCAGTGAGCTGTACCTTCCAAACTGGAATGACGGCGAACTAGCTGTGGGAGCATAAAATAAAAATTTGTTCTCTCAGGAAAAATGACAATAGGAGTTTTTAGGCTGTAGCTGCAATTCTGTAGTGAGGCCAAGTCATAGACTACAGGTTAGACCTGTTTTATAGCTGTCACACCTCACTATTTTCTCTTATTCCCTCCACTACTCCAGTTTTCTCTTAGTTCTTAACTCTTCCCAAGAAGACCAGGTTTGTCAGTGACCTAGAATTTACTTATAGTAAAGTAGTGAGCAAAGCTCTGTATTGTTTGTGGATATCAAGAATTGCATACTGTTCTAAAATGGCAGCTTTCACTAAGGAATCCAAAATGTTAACAATATAGAACTTTGTGTATGGCCTTTTAACAAAAATCTATAATGACAAGGAATACTGTTTTTCCAGCTGTTTTCAAGTTAATACCACCACATGTCATATGTAATGGGTTTCTCTTTCTGCCAAGATTTTGGCCCTCTAACTACAACACATCCACATCCTGGATAAACTACAACAAACATAGTTCTTGAAAAGCATTTTCAGACTTGCAAGAAAATAAGGAAAATCTTCAAGGTATATGTCTCTCCCTCACAAAAAGAGAGAAGGGGAACTGTGAGCTGAAAGATAGTACTGGTAAACAGATGAGCCTGATTTCCTCGGCTACAAACTCCAGTAACAGCCCTGGAATTGGAACAGTACAAGCCCTGGAGCACTCCTGCTGCAGGACAGGAACACTGAACCTGAGAATGCTGTATGAAGCCAGCACTCTTAAAGCGGACTAACATGGTCCCCGGTTGGTAGCTCCAGTGGCTCAAAGCAGAAGCAAATCCTCTCTGGAGAAAGCAATCCTAATTTAGGTCCTCAGGATTTCCCTTAAAAATTTACAAGATAATAATAGGGAAAATGATATACCATAAGTGAGAGCAGAAAAAATAAATTTAGATTTGTTGAAAAAACAAATTTGTTGAAAAAGCAAATTTAGATCTCCAAGGTTCTAAGATACGGAAGTTATCCAAAACAATATAAAACAAATATGTGCAGAGACTTTGACATTTGGAAAGATAGATGTACTTTTCCCTAATTCTCTAGTTAGGTACAACTAAAATCTCTGGACATTATAAAACAGACAGAAGAAGACTCTGAAAGTTGGAAAGAAGGCAGACTAGCCAGGGACTTTGAGACCCAAGGCACAACATGGTGCTGAATTCCCTGGGTTTTCTTTTGCCTCATTCCTGTAGCTGAAGAAGCCAGCAATCTGAACTCATCAGTGAGCACAGGCGCACACATGCGCGCGCGCGCGCGCACACGCACACACACACACACACGCACACACACACACACACACACACACACACAAGAAAAGCCAGCTCTCTCTTGTCAGAGGACCAGGAAAGAAAACTTACCGAGCATAAATGCTCTACTTCAGTTACATCACAGAAAAATATTTTGGACCCTGCCTACATCCATGCCAGCAAAGGCCAAGAGGGGAGCCTAGATTTACATACTTGTCAGGCTTGATACAGGTTGAATGTGCCCCCCAAAGTTTCATGTATTAGAAGTTTAAATCCCACTGTAATTATTAAGGGGATGTGTATTGGGCAGAGGCTGGAAGAATTTGGAGGAGCAGGCTAGAAAAAGCCTAGATGCTGGTGAGACCTTAGAAGACAAAAAGCCCAGGGAAGTTTGGAACATCTTAGAGACTGGTTAAATGTTGGTGAGCAGAATGCTGATAGAAATATGGACATTAAAGGCCATTTTGAGGAGATGTCTGATGTAAATGAGAAGGAGCTTATTGGAAACTGGGGCAAAGATCACTATTTCTATGAACTTGCAAGGAACTTGGCTGTACTCTGTTCATACCCAAAAGCTTTATGGGATGTGGAACTTAAGAGCTTTGAACTCCAGGGTATTTGGCAGAAGAAATTTCTAAGCAGCAAAGCATTCAGGAAGCTGCATGATACTTGTAGCAGCCTACACGGAGTTATGGTGGCAAAGGCATGAGGTAAAGCTGAAATTCGTAATTAACAAAGAAGCAGAGAGTAAAAGATTGGAAAACTCTCAGGCTTTCTGTATAAACAGTGAGAAAGTCTGAGAGAGGAAACCAAGGGGGTAGGTATTCCAGTAACCTTTTGCTGAAGAGGTTAGCACAGAAGAAAGGGATCAAGAGAGTGGAAAAAGACCCTGAAAAAATTTCAGAGATCTTCAAGTCTGCCCATCCCATCACAGGCCCAGAGGCTAGGAAAACAATGGTTTCAGGGAACAGCCCTCCACAGGCTCACTGCCCAGGATCACCTCGGGATGCTGTTCCCCACACTCTGGCTGCTCCATTTGCTCCAGCTGTGGCTAAATTGGTCCTGGCCATGGCTAGACACACAGCTTTGGAAGACTTAAGCTGGAAGCCTTGGCAGCATCCACATGGTATTAAGTCTACAGGCTCACAGAATGCCAGAACTGTGCCACCCAGATTTTAAAGGGTGTATGGAAAGGCCTGGGGCCCCAGGGGGGGATTTGTCATAGGGTCAGAGTCACTGCAGAGAGCTTTTGCTAGAGTAATGTGGAAGGGAAATGCAGGGTCAGAGTTGCAGCAGCGAAACCCCACCAAGGCCACACCTAGTGGGGCTGTGAGAATAGGACCACCGTGGAGACTCCAGAACTGTGCAGCTACCAATTTTTAATGCCAGCCTGGAAGAGCTGAAGCATGGCCTGAGACCAGGAAAGCCTTAGGAGTGGGGCTGTCTGAAGACTTGGGGACCCAACCCCCACACCAGTGTGTGGAGAATGCTGAACGTAGAGTCAAGGTATATGATTCACCAGCTTTAAGATTTAATGCCTGCCATACTGGGTTCTGGACATGTTTAGGACCTGCTACCCCTTTCTTTTCTCCTATTTATCCCTTTTTTTTTTCCCCCTTTTTGTCTTTTTTCGTGACTGGCAACAGATCGCAACCCTCAGTGTCGCGCCCGTACCAGACCGGGACCGGCAACGGGATCACAACCCTCGGTGTTGCGCCCGAACCTCGCTCAGCCAGTGAGCAGCTGGTCTGTACGTGGGATCCAAACCCTCGGTGGGAGCGCTGCCACACTCCCAAGCAGCGCACTGTAGCAGTGCGCCACCGGGCCGGCCCCTATTTATCCCTTTTTGAATGGGAATACATACCCTATGTTTGTCCCGCCATTGTATCTTGGAAGTAGATAACTTGTTTTAATTTCACAGACTTTGGACTTTTGAGCTGGGACAAGTTACAACATTGGGGCTATGTGGATGAAATAAGTGATAAATATGTGTCCCCCAAAGTTTTATGTATTAGAAGCTTAATCCCCACTGTAACTATTGAGGGTGGGAAATCTTATTATGGTAATTGAAGGGCAGAGCCTAGAAGAGGTGTTAGATTGTGAGAACTATGCCCTTGTGAATGGATTGACCCATTCATGGAGTAATGGGTATGGTTATAATGGCTTTATAAGGACAGTGAGTGAGAAGCTTAGCTGTCTCTTGCTCCTGTCAAATTGGCCATGTGACACCCTGTGTTGCTGTGAAGAGTCCCCTGGACTTTGGAGTTCCTAGCCTCTGAAACTGTAAGAAATAAATTTTGTTTTCTTATAAATTACCCAGTTTCAGGTATTCTGTTATAACGTGTTGTTGTGAAGAGTCCCCTGGACTTTGGAGTTCCTAGCCTCTGAAATTGTAAGAAATAAATTTTGTTTTCTTATAAATTACCCAGTTTCAGGTATTCTGTTATAAACAATAGAAACAGACTAATGCAATGCTGTGACAAGGTACCCTAACCCCACCACCACCAGGGAGCCTCCTGGCAGTGTTAAGCCTCCCTCCCTCAAGATGTCAGTGGAAATCATGTGGGGAGTCTGGAGTTAACCCCCCATCTGGCAGTAACAATGCCCCTTGCCCTCCCTGCTGGAGTGGTATCAAAGGAGGCCAAGTGGGGAGTCAGGACTTTCACTACCTCCCAGTGGTAACAAAGCCACCCCTCCCTGTGGTGTCAGTGGAGGCTAGATAGGGAGCAATAACAAGGCACTCCTGCTCCTCCCAGCCAAGGAGGTGTCAGTGGCGTCCTAGTTAGGAATTGAAACTCCCACTCCCCTTCGACTGACTATAGAAACTGAATGGGAACCTGAACTTCTACCCCCACCTGGCAGTATTGAGACAGCACCCCTCATTTTTCTCTCTTGGAGTGGCTCCAGAGTACACCAGCTAAAATATAAGAGTTAAATAAGACTAGAGTCTCATCACAACCTCCAAAATGTCCAGGTTATAATTGAAAATCACTCATTCCAAGAATCAGGAAGTTCTCAAACAATGTAAAAAAGACGATCAGTAGATGTCACAACGGAGAAGACATATATTAGAGTTATCTGACAAAGATTTTAAGCAGCCATTATAAAAACAAACACTTCAGTGAGCAAGGAGGAACATGCTTGAAACAAATGAAAATATACAGAGTCTCAGCA